AACAATTCTTCAAGGCTCAAAGGCCTATAGCCGCAATACAGGAAACACCAGGACCCACGGGAGAGCCTAGAATAGAAGGTCGGCCGCCATAATGGTACTTATATTTGTGGCGGTCACCACAAGTGTAGCAATCCAAACAGTGGCGTAATGAAAGTTGTTGCCGCTGGTGTCGCTCACTGCACCACGTTGTGAAGCATTGTACGCTGTCATTTTTTTCTTCTTTTACACAATCTTACTACTGTTAGACTTACTCGGACGTATATAGGGAACTGGTAGCGTTTGCATGGCTGCTCAGTTCGGCCAGGACAGCGCAATAGCGCTGTTGGTTAGTTCGATGCTGCCTCCAGGCGACGACGATGACGAAAATGCCGGTCACGGAGATGGCGATCTTAGGGCTGATGATCGTTCTGCAAACAATCCTCCTGCCGACTTCGTCGTTTCAGCCCAGACCCTTTCGCCGTTTTCCTGAAAACCATAGACGATAGATGGGGCGACTGCGAGATCGACTGACCGTCAGCGAAGCTGACGAATCGACGAACAAGCGTTGCCCATGGTATATATCATCAGCGTTCAGGTAACAACGGACAACAATGATCATGTGCACACGCAGCTGCCGAGGGATCAGGGTATAAGGGTGAATCAAATAAAGAGGTGTCGTTCTTATTATTATTGTTAGTCTCATGATGCTGGTGTGAAGGTACTCTCACGATTGATTTTAGGAAACTGAAACTCCCGGCATAGGAACTGCAATCGTCGTTCTTCCGCAGCTGTGAGTTTAATGTTTGCTCACAATTTGTGTACACAGTGGTCCCCCTGTTACGAGCATATCTATATGGGATTAGTTAAAGTAAGCCGTACCTTCGTACGTAATCTTACTTTCAACTAATACAGTTTCCGACTGTAGTCTCATCTACTATTATATTTGGCGTGGAAACAACGAACTCACGAAGGTATACAGTAGAAGAGCGCCATTTCTTCCGTCTGTACACGGAGAAATATGTCCCTGCCAATTGTCTCGCAGTATAGCCCACCAGCGGCAGAACGGTGCTCTTAATAAGCCGGTTTATTTATCACTGTCTAGCAGCTCCAAATGGTCGCATGACCGATAGAGCTATTGAAATCGTTTACAGATATGTTTACTTTGCCTTAAAATCATGTCAAATGTCGAACCTTGCTATTGCAGTCAGGCTAAATGTATTAGCACGAAATTCGGGTTCAGACGCTAACCAAAGCTTTTGATCCTAGCCGTGATTCATGAAGCAGTGATTTCTTTTTAGCAACACTCGATAGGACGTCGAACGATAACGTCAGCCCAACGGTATCGAGCGAACGTTTCGTACTGCCCAGTATGGATATATAAACTGCATCCACATGTTACATTTCACATATGACAGTTTGAAAAATATCGAAGGAAAACAACTATATCGCGTACGCAAAAACAGATCGCTAATTTTGAACACAACGTAGCAAAAATGCGGTCACCAGTGAAATAGACGCTCGAAGATTGCTCATTGTCAAAAAACAAAATAGAAACCACATAGAGCAGCTTTTAGAATTAGGCAATTCTCGTAAATGTCTGACAGATTGGCCCGGTAGATCCCAAAGAACCAAAAGTTGCCTGTATCGTTGCTGCGATAAATTCAAATATCCTAACACAGTTAATATCTTATTAATTTCAACATATCCGAAACTCAAACTTCGCTTGTTCTTAATGATTTTCACAGTTCGGTTCGGGCCACCGTAGTCGTGTTATGGCAGAAAACTTGTGGCCTGCACCGTTTGTAAACAAATATGCAATTGCGTTTTCTAAAACACGAAGTAGATTAGATAGGATCGTTATTGTCGATAACCAATACTTCCATTTTTACATCGTTCAAGTAACAATAAGATCGATCGGTCATTCTTGGCAGTCCGATTACATAGAGCCCTCATTCCATCTGCGTCTCAATGAAAATGTCTACATCCTATCCGAACATCGAGTCGCCTTGACGAAGCTTCATTGGAGCTACCAGTTACAGTTCCACAAGTAACGAAACCAATATCGTCGACGGATTCTTTCAGCTGCAGGATAAAAACACCGACAGTGAATACTGACATGACGCCGTTTCGAGATCCTTTGAAAACCACGGCCATCTTGGAAAGGGCTTGTTGCAGATCGAACATCCGCTTGCACAGCTGGCAGAATGCATCGTGTTGTAACACGTGTAAAACAGAGATGTTATGCTATCGAATACGGCCCGCACACCCGAAACTGGCGGCGAGGCTAGCGCCGACTTCAGTGAAGTCGATCATTGTGACATCTTGTACTTTGAAGTTAGTACTTTTGCTACTTCTCCGATGATAGGATGGGATAACAGATACTTCTCTCGTTTAGATGATGACGATCGTTGCGATGATACCGGTGGTGATCGTAGAAGTAAGTGCTGTTGCAATTAAGCTTTCTAGTCCATAGAATATTGCTACACCTAAAAGCAGACGCAGACAGAAACAGGAAGGAACAACCACGTGTAGACATTACCACGTATAACGCCGGACTCAAGCTTCCTGCTGCGGGGGAAGATTTGTGCCTAGCTAGTGAATGTCGGCTCGATTTGTAGCAGATTGGAATAGTCTTCTCCTTCAATCTTACCGACGCTGGTCAGATACCCGCGCTCCGAAGTCGTTACCTCCTAAGGCGATAAATAATCTCGGGAGTTGTTCCAACCCACGTACAATACCTATTTGCACCTTCTTATTGCAAACTACTACTATTAGCATACCCGGTCACACATAGACTAGCAGAACTACGAATACTTGCTGCAGACTAATAAAAGTAGTAATTATTGGAGCGAAGTTATTTAATCTGAAACAGTTGTCTTGGCGATCCGATAATGCTATTCGCGATAGTATTGCTCGTAGCGTTCAGTCACTTGATTGATTAGTAAGTTAAGCTCAATCTCTCGTCGCCAAGGGGCTAAGAGGTCAACTGCCCCCCCCCCGCCCCCGCCAGCATCAAACGCTAGCGTTACCGTTACTGTCATAATTTCTGTTACCCTTTCTGTATTTTGCTATAAGTGCTAGTAAAGCTGCGCTAGCGACCAATTTTTCGGAAAATGCGCCAAACAGAGATATTTGTCTATTAACAATTAGAAGCAACGAGTGAGGCGGGAGCGTGCCTTCGGGGGAAATAGCGTTTTAGCAAAAAAGAACGTTGACGACAACAGCGTCAATACTCTCTATACGAATTAACCGGCAGCTTAGCGAACGGACCTGTAGTCGGATGGCCATCGCACAGGAGAAGAGTATTGGTCATATTGGCACTTTCGAATAGATACGATAAAAGACAGAGCGATGGTGGCGACGGGAACAATTACCATTTTCAAAATAGACATGTATTCACGTTCAGCAGCGGGATATATAAAAATGGAGGGTTTTCTGAGGCCCCATAGTTAGCGCAAGTAGACATGTGCACTAGTGGGAATGTTAGCCGTTTACCTAACTTCCCATGTCTGTTTCATGCGGGCACAGAAGATATTTAGTCGACCGATGCAGGGGTAACACCTGTCTTTCCCTGAGCTGCTGCTTCTTCTTTCCCAAGCCCTTTGGTTCACCAATGTGTATGCTATTATAGTTTCATTTTCTGGTAACTATAAGCGGCTAGATTGCGCAGGATATCACTGTGTTATATCGCTGTAAGTGGAATGCGAAATATAATGAAATTTACGTGAATAACTTAAATGCTCGCCATAGCATGGACGACGATAGTGGAAGCAGGTTTTATCAGGGGGACAGCCACAATAAGAGATCAAAATAATGGTATAGTAGGTTTTGGAAAGGTTTCAACCCTTAATAAAGGGGCTGTTAAGGGAGCAGCGGTTGAGTTACACCCACATAAACTAGTAACTTGCAAGTTCTATTACGAGCATTGTAATTTTTCTCTCTTGTAGGGTACACGTCCATAGCAGATATTAGTCTTACGAACTACATCTAATGGTTTCATTGGTTAAGTCACTTTAATATACTGCAGAGAAAAGAAAGCAAAATTTACTCCCATTGTGTGTAACAACTCTTAAGCCAGTTTAGTAATACACGTTCGATTCTGTTCGTGATACGTGATCGGTCGTCCACCTGATCTGTTGTTAATGTTTCACTGTTTGGACAGCGTTTTCCTGGTTTCCCTAACTTGATTCACCGGAAGATATCTTCCCTATAAATTTATTGGCGCACTGTCAGACTTCACGATAGAATGAAGCTTTTCTGCTACAGTTCCTTTGGATTTTCAGATCTGATTTCAAAAATAAAGTGTTTCAATTATATATGAAAATCGATCGTTACGTTACAGCGTTGCTGGATAACGATCTACGATCTTTTACAGCGTATTAGTCGTATCTACGGATGGGAGTCTTACGCACTTTTACACATACATTATGAGTCGGACATCAAATTCTAAAAGTAACGGCAAATTTAGTAAAACGAGAACGAGGAGTTGCTTTTTCTCATAGCGACTAACCGATGTTGCCAATCTGAATCTCTTCTAAATATCTCTTCAGCTCAGACGTGCGTTCTTCATTCTTGGAAATATTTATACAGACACGTTTATCGCATAAGCCGAATAGACGCTTAATATAAACAACAATAAACAGGCGTGGAAACTGTGGCAAATTTTCACATGTTAATACCTACGGTGTGCACCTATAGCCCTGGTGGAACCAGCTCAGAAATTCGAAGTTCGTGGCATAAACCAATCACATGACGGCCGCACGTCATCTACTTCACTGCACCACGTTTTCAGAGTGAGACAATCACTAAAGAAATTGGGACGGGTTAGATTTTTTTTGCTGCCTCGGTCGCAGCGCTGCTGGGACTTTTGCTATGATACTGGTATGATGATTGGGTCCGTCCGTGTGACTTAGAAATGCAGTTGATTTTTTGTTCGTTTCCACGATGACTAATACTACCATATGATTCTCTTCTGCCATTTGCTATTTGACTACCCATCATGCCGATTACGGTTGCTCCAGAAGCATCGCAGTGGTGGCCGCGGTAACGCCTACGTGGGCCAAGCGGCCGTCTGCCCTTTGATGACGTGAACGGTCACGCACCCCTCACCTCGATATGTTCCGTTTCTGCTGGCTAAGTTTTATTCGGGAACCAGTGAAGGTGCGTATACAACGTGTAACCATATGAACAAAGAATGACAGAAACTTACTTTTCCGTGCAATAGCTTCAGGGTGCCTCTTAATTTGAAAGAAAAAGGAAAATCCACGTTCTGTTAGTAAATATAGTGGCTTGTTAGTAAATGTTTTTGGACCAATTACTTTCTAAAGGAGATTGCTCACCGTTCCCTCCAGGTAAGACGCGATAACCGTAGCTTAGCAGGTCAAGTTTCGACAGGCACAAACCTCACGGACTAGCCATTCGTCTCTCTCCCATCTAAGATATATTATCACGATGCGAAATGGGTAACCAGGCCGGCCGGTCGGCCGGCAAAGTTGAATGATTTAACTTACTATCGCTGCTGTAGTTACTCAGTAGAATTTTACGCTTACATAAAACACAGAACAAAGACCGACAGACAAAAAATGGAACATACGGACCAAACGCTGATGAGCCAACTGGAAGCCTGTAGATTACCCCCTTCCATTTTTGATAGCTGGGTAAGGGTTCCGTATTCTTCAGAACAGAATCACTTATTTGTTGACATCTCTGATGGTACTATATTGAAACAAATTGATTGATTTAGCATCGTCGGAATGAACTTGTTAGTTTAGTGTCCTCTACATTTACGGGTCTGTCAGGTTGGATGGTGCAGTTCCGCCGTGTTAATCTATAGAACCAATCAGGGTTTGATGTAGATTTTGTCTGCTTGATCTGAAATCGGCAAAAGAGCCAATAGGAAATAATTTACGTCAAACACTCGCATTGTCTGAGTATATACTATAATTAAAGGTTTGTAGCGCTAAAAGACACCAGATACAAACATCTGCTTCTATTGTTATTTTCACCATAGGCTTACGCGTTTACATTTATGCCGTCACGCGAGGTACGTTGTGAATAGTTTATTAAATCTATTAGTTGCGTCTGTATTTTGATAATGAAGATGACTATCAAGAAAATGTGCCCGGTTTCATTAGTAAACCGCCCCTTGTTAAAGTGCACGCGTTACTATATGAGAACGCTAATCGATTCTGTGATTTGGAAAGTACAAAAAAACAAACTTTGTTCCACCGTTATTTACACTGATAGTAACGGCATGCACTTCCTTCAAAAATGTTTACCACAACGATGTGTTTTTTATATATTTTAACGTGGATTTCATCGGATGACGACAAGTAAAACGACTCCGTTATGCCGAAAAGTAAATTCTGAAATGTACTTCAGGTAGACATCAGATACCAAGTTCGTTAGATATTAGGCATATTGAAAACTGCAAGCGCCAGTATTCATAGTATGGCATAGTTCCTGTGATGACGATCTCGAATACGTGCGATCGAGCTGCGGTAGCAATTCCAATAAGAGTTCGAGAAATCAGATACGTTTGAACAGCTCTGACCACCTAGGCTGTTCGGCCTAGTTCGGCTATTCGCAGGTGATCCAGCGGTCAATCAGCTGAAGGTCCTGAGCGAACAACGTACGACATACATAATATGACGGGACTGTTAGGGAAAAGAGAGAAAAGAGGCGCGGATAAAGCGGAGAAAAACGAGATCGAAAGCTCATTGTGAATAGTTCAATCACCGCTAGAATATAGGAAACAGCGATCGAAGTGATATCGACCACGATGGCGCTCATCATTGTGATACTGCTGATGATTTTGCTATCGTAAAACGAACGAAGTGTCAGCCGAAAGGCGACACATGAGACGAACGTGAAGTCGTCTCATTCGGTCGGAAGCTTGCCATGCATTGTTCTAGCGAATGCCCACAGACGCCTTCGCGGTAAATTGGGATCATGCTTATGACAATACTCACAAGGATTAAGAGCTGCTGAGGGTGGGGGTTGGGGGTAAATGCTGTTTGACTAGACATTCTACGTAGCAGGAGCAGGTAAACGCTATGTCGTCGACGCAATAATGTTCCATTAGATCAAATCGACAACAGTAACAAACACGTTCATATGAGAATTCTAGAAGACGCAAATGAGCTCTATTCCGCATCTGCCGCTAGTACTGATTGTGGTTACGGTGGTATTAATCATAATTACTTATATGTAAATAGCAAGAAAAGCTGAAACGGCTCAATTCTGTGCTGTTTTTAGACAGATAACATGTTCTGCGGCCGGCCACGCAACGGCTGTTAGAGGCTACAAAACAGAGACGAACGTTTTTAAATTGCAGTTACAATGATGTTTCCGAATAGTAACATCTGTGGGTTCAAATCGTAGAGTTAGTCCTCGTCGCTGTGATGGTTGATTATGGTGGCAGAGGCAAACGCTGATCTATAAAACGTAGTCAACGAGACCTGCGGACCTGTTATTGGTCTTGTTTTTACAAATGTTCAAATTACTTCGGTCTGTTTCCCATTTCATAAACATAGCATTACGAATTATGAGAATGCGATGTTGGTCGTTGCCACTTCGTACTATGAGCGGCTGAACCTTCGGAAACAAACAACGGCGACGAAGGCAACATTTGCGCGAGGAAAAAACGCGCCGAAGATCAGCAGTGTTGTTAGTTGTGTCAGTGATCGTGCACTGAGTGCGGCGGCTCCGCACTCAATGCGCGATCAGCGTTATCATCCGAAGTATCACCGTTACTACCAGAAGTATGCCATTATCTCGACAAAAAAAGATAATTATAACGAATATAACGACGAAACAGTCTGCAGGAATGAAGATAATACATTAGTCAGCTTGGCAGGTTGCCTGAATACGCAGGTTAGCGTCAGCGCTCTGCGCTAACGGCGTATTTTTGATAGTAGCAAGAGTCACACAAATACGATTAAGTCGAATACGGCTGTCCACGGACAATAGCCAATAATTACACAGGTCAGATTTGTCTAGCGTCCCTGCTGACGCGTCTTGTTCGTCGCTAAGAACTGATACTTTGACAACAACGCTTACCACAACAACGACTGTGGTTAAGACAGCACGTAAAGGCCGGCGTGGGCATCAGACCACACAATAACGGTACAAGCTCAGGCTTGTCATGACAGTCTAACAAAGAGACGCGGCAGACCGCATGCAGTAAAGATGACGATGGATGGCGCTAATTTAATAACAGCCGAAAAACGGTCTTCACTCGAGAAACTAGAACGGTCGATGGATGACAGTCTGTTGTTACTTCGGCTGTCGTCTGTCGTCAAACGTAATTGAGGAGTTTTAGCCTGAGGGCCGATGAAACCATCGAGCAATAACAGTGCTTATTACATTACCAGCCTTATAATACATACGGTAAAACGTTATTTTGAGTGTTAATGTGCCTTTCTTCTGTTTCCTATTCGAAATTTGTCAAGTTTGACTTGAAATAAAAAAACACGAGCGACAATTCCAATAAATTAATGAATGACCAGTTAATTATACATATAAAAACGTTGATTTGAAGATCATCACAAGAGGGATCGCGAGAGAAGAATTACAGCAAAAATGAAGACGAGGAGGGTTATAAAAAATAATATCGGCACACGTCTGTATGTTAGCTATATGACTGATTAGCTGGCCACTGGCTGTAAGTGGGATAATAGAAATTCGAATAGCGCGCCACAGTTCTAGTAGGCAAATGGTTAGTGGCAGCCCGCCATCTCGTAATTTTCCAAGAGACTCATAGGTCGCCATCATAGCGATTAGCAAGTACACAGTCTGGCTACCTGATGGCAGCGCACGACCTCATTGCCATACCTCATTTACTCACTGAATTAGCCAAAGGAATATTCAACGTTGTCTTATACCAGCTTATCCAGCTCGATCTAAGTGCGTACGATTACTTCGCTTTTTACGCCTCCCGGCAAGGGCAAGTGATAGATAAGCATGTTCTACTATCTATTTACTCCGAGAACTCATAGACAAGGGAAGTCTATGAGTTTGAAAGCGCAACCGGTAGCTGTCATAGTTATCCTGAAGGTGCCCCAGTGTTGGGACAAAGATTGAAGAAGTAAAAGAAACACGTGTTTCAAATTCAGCGATATAAGGAATCAGGTTAGGTGAAAAACATTGTCAGCACTCCGAAATATCTGAAAGGGAATGACCAGGCTTCGAAATCTCTAGACTATTTAATGTAGGTGTCGAGATTTACCAAACCAATTAATGGTGTTAGCTAAATCCATCTAGGGGGTGACATTGCTGTTCGGTCTGCTTTACTCAGCAATATCGTAACGAGAAAACAAATCGTGGATCGATGTACACAAATACTCCTATCAAAGGTGTTTGAAGAATCCCCAATGGCTCAAGGAGCTCAAACCCAACCTTATTTTGCATAGCATATAAACAACCCGTCAACTTTTACTAGTAGAAGTAGTTTCATTATTATTGAATAGGCAAAATCGATTAATTTACAGCAAGGATTAACTTCTCCCTCTCTCTGTCCCTCTCAAGACTGTAGAAAAGCTGTGGTCGCGTAGATGATGGCGAAAATGGAGCCTTAAATGCAAGACGTCACGTTTGCACTGAACTGGAAAAAAAGTGTTTTTCGTTTGCGGAAGTATTCTTCAGCCATCGTTTGTCATGCGGTGCGTCGTTCTAACTAATCTATAGTTAATCTTGCCATCAGACAGTTTCCCGTTATATTGCCTCGTGCGTTATTGTAGCCCAGAACGCCATGAAAGATGAACGTCGTTAGCTGTCTCTCCGTCACTGTTGCAATAGACAGACGATAGTAGTAACACAAAATCATACCAGTATCTCATGCAAACTGCCCACAGTATTAGCGGTTGGTCTGGCCGACCGACCGACCGACCGACCCAGGAGCGGAGAATTTGAACCGGGTCACCGGCTCCAGCCCAGTGGGAATGAATAGCAGGGCCCCGTTACACTATTACTCAATATATCATATACAATACTTAATCCAAGAAATAATAAGGAAGCAAAGGGAACACGACGAAGCAAATATATCTGAGGCGAACACACACTTGATAAATATGGAACGGGTTCATATGTTGGTTAGACAGATGAGCATGTTTGGCTACATTCGTTTGTCGACCGCCAACACCTAACGAGCGCGCATGGAC